CACTATAATTATCTACTTCTCTGTTTATGTAGGTGCAGTCCTCCAGTTGCTACATCATGGTCTGCTCTGTGCCCGCTGCAGTTCTAAGTAGTGTGTATATGTGGGTATATACAAAACCATGTACACATAATTAAAAAAAATCCAGCACATCACGAAGAGATCTTGAAACCAGTAACATGAGAGCTACTGACCTTTCTGAGAGAAATGTGATGGGGCTTTGCTTGAACAGATGTCTAGATACAAACTGAGAGTATGACACCATCAGTCATATTTAGAGAATGTAATGCCACGGACTCTTCTGGCCAGTGTTTGTGACTGTGATGGGTTGAAGCATCTGGGGAGGGAGGGTGTGTTTTTGTACAGCTACAGGGAAACAGTTTATATATTTGCTCCATTTTAGGAATGACGTAGTAGTTAGAAGGATATGAGTAATTAGTTTTCTCTCTGAATGTCTTCAGTTTTACTGACAGTTCAGGCATAGAACTGTACTATTTTATTTAAAACTCGATATAAGTTAGGAGAGTATAAAATTTTCCTCTTTCTAAATGGTACACAAACTGTGAAGCTGTTCAGACACAGCTGGATACTTACATGCTCAGGGAGACGCTTTGGAACCTTGGAATTAGAAAATCTATTTTGGCAGGAAGGACAGGGTTCATGTTTAAGTCATTTATTAAAGTACTGTAACTACCGTTATGCTGAAGTACTTTCTTATGTTCTTGGTTGACTGATGTCATAGTCATGCACTCCACATTTATTATCCACAACAATTTATGGCTCTCTTTTTTTCCATTTTGTCTTTAAACACTAATTTACCGTATGCATTCTTCAATGCATGTCAGCTTTTCATAGAATCATAGAATGGCTTAGGTTGGAAGGGACCTCAAGGATGTGCTGTTCCAGCACCTCACCACTCTCATAGTAAAGAACTGCCCCCTGACATCCAACCTAAATCTTTCCTCCTTCAACTTAAAACCATTTCCCCTTGTCCTGCAGTTATCTACCCTTTCAAAGAGTTGACTCCCCTCCTGCTTATAGGCTCCCTCTAGGTACTGAAAGGCTGCAATGAGGTCAACCCACAGCCTTCTCTTCTCCAGGCTGAACAAGCCCAGCTCCCTTAGCCTGTCTTCGTAGGAGAGGTGCTCCAGTCCCCTGATCATCTTTGTGGCCCTCCTCTGGACCCTCTCCAACAGCTCCCTGTCTTTCTTATACTGGGGGCTCCAGACCTGGATGCAGTACTCCAGATGGGGCCTCACAAGAGCAGAGTAGAGAGGGACAATCACCTCCCATGTCCCTGCTGGCCACCCTTCTTTTGATGGAGCCCAGGATACCATTTGCCTTCCGAGCTGCAAGAGCACGCTTTTGGTCTGATGTAGGTTTAGTCTTTATCTGTTTCTACTAGAGCATTCAGGAAGCTCTATACCTTTGTGTACATACAAATACACATTGCACCCATATCTTTCCTTCTCACTCCCCCTACTGTTGTCCCTTAGTTCCATCTGACCTCTAGTGAGCACTGCCACTCACGTGGGGAGAGAGAACAAGGGACCACAGTGTCAAATGTTGCTGGGGCTGACAACTGATGGAAGATGAGAGCGAAAAGAGGCATCCCATGCATGACTGTAGTTGCCCAAGATCAGTACAAAACCTATAAAACAGTCCCCCCGTATTCCTCATAAAAATAAAATGTGAACAGACAAAGGTTGCTCATGACTTCTTGTAGCTTAATGCTACAAGAAACTGACAAATATTATTCTGTGGAGCAAACTTAGTAGTGGGTTTGTAATGCTTTGAGCCAAACTTCACCTGTACAGTTGTCTCTCCATGCTTGGTTTCATCTTTGTCAGTGCACCACCAGCTGACCACAGACTATAGGCATCTGGCAGTACACTGTATTGCCCTGCAGCTCACACATTCATTTTCTCAGTCTGGTAAAAGAGAGAAGTGGTAGCAAGCAAGAGAGGGAACTCGGAGAACTTTCCCCACATGTTACATTGTTCCGCATAATTTGTGTATTCTAATTGTTACTGTTCTTCTCTTAGTGCCTTGTAGTGTCTCCTCCACAGTGATCTATATTGTCTTTATATTGGTGGTTAGTATATATGAAGATACTCTGCATTATTATTGCAGCTAATGCCTTCCTTTTTAAATTTTTTCTTCTGTTTTTGCAGTTAACTTTTGACATTAGTAAACTAATTGCCTACAGTTGTCCTGTGTATTTCAAAGCTCTATTTTGAGAGCAGACATCAGTCCTACCCATTTCATCTCTTCCATTAAGTTCTGCTTTAATTGCCAACAGTGTTAAATAAAGGATAGAGCAAAGCGTATGAAATGACTTTGTAGTTCATAATACTGTCACTATAGTAGTTTTCAATCCTAGAATGAACAGGCAGGTCTTAAAATGCATATTAATGCTGTGTTACAAAGGCTGGAAGCGTTGTGTCTGCAAGATGAATAGCCTATCTATGAAATATCATTCTCATAAGACAAAATTCTAGCATAGTACTTTTCTCAAGTCTCCAACCATCAGTGAGGATGAATGTTGAAAACAGTATTGTGGATGTGTTGAGAACACAAAGTTCTTCGTTACTAACATCCCTAATTGCTTCTGCTGTGTTTCTTCCGAATCCTCCCTGAGTTATTGAATGCCTTTATATGTCCTATGCATGCAGTGTCCTGCATGGCTGGCAAATGTGTGTTCTCAGTCCTGCAGAAGTCACCTCATCTGAGACATAGGACTCTCACCCTATGATCTTCAGATACCCTATTTAAAATGGTTTATTTTTTCTTAAAGGGGAATATTCTCACTCTGAATATTCTGTAACATTAGAGGTATTTGCACTACTGCAATACAATAGGAAATACTGTACTGTAATAAATACAAGAATAACAGCAGGAATGGGACAACAGCTTGCATTTTAAACTTTAACTGGTTTTACACTGGCAAAAAATTAGTTCTTCTAAAAGCTGTGTTCTTTGTTTCAGTATGCATACCATACTTTGAATGTGACTCCTTTAATACTTTGTATGTTCAGTGTAAAATGGCTCCCACACCTTACCCTGACACACATGGTGCTGTATCACCACCTCGTGGTGAAGTTGCTTTGCAGTAGTTAAATAGAGGCAGAGAGAAAGGTCGTCCACGTGTGTAAATAGACTTTTTTAACCAAAATCCTTCTTGACTTCTATAGAAAAGTGATGCTATCTAGTCCACGAATTTGAAAATAGGAAATGTTTAACCTCTGTTATGTTTGCAAAGCTGGTTCAAAGAAATTGAGAAGCCCACAGTGCAACAGAAGATCTGTAACATGCTCATGTAAAATAAGGATGGATGTCATGTGTAAGCAGGAAGAAGGCTTATTCCTGGCTTACAACTAAGTATCTAAAAATTCACAAATTTAAGTGCAGACAACAGATGGACCAAACTGTACAATTCACCAGAAGCCTGCAGCCCTCTTACCTTGCATATTTAGGAGAATAGGTTTTTTAAGAAAAAGTGGCCTTAGACTCATCAAGCACGTTGCTAAATTGGATGTCAGATAGGTTTTCCATTCGTTTCAGTCATTTTGGCTGAAATGTTAGCTGCAAGTTTCAAGGAGAGCTTAAGAACAGTGTTACTTTTGTGAAACACTGGATTTGAAATTCAGAGTTCAGTTTCTTCCTTTATCACAATTAGTAGAATATCTGGTATATCCCTGTGGGTTATTTAACTGAAAATATATAAATAGGTTTTTTGGTTTGTTTGTGTTTTTTTTTTCACTAGAAATTAAAGTGAAATACATGTTTCTGCATATATTTAGCAAGCGTGTGAATGGCTTTGTTATTAATCTGTGACCAGAAATCTGAAGCAGTCTAAAGCCTTTCTTTACATTTGACAACACAATGTACTAAACCATGTGGGCTGCATTATTTTATGTGTTCTCGTGATTCACTGATCAAGGTTTCTGCCTCATTCAGGCCACTTGACCATTTTAATTACCATCTCCTCAGTGCTGGGTTAGCACCTTGCCTGCTCCCAAAACTGTCTCAAAATAGCAGCATATAAATTCAGCCCTGCTAGGAGAAGGTTATCTTTTCAGGAAACACCTGCATATCTCTTGTAGTACAGTACAGTTGTGCATGTAACTCTGAAGCAAATCACATCTTGAATTCCTCCCCATTTTTCTTCAACCATTATCTCCTTGGCTTTCTAAGTAAACTCATTGCTCTTGCTAATAAGACCTGCATCATCACAGCTTTTTCTTTATAGACTCAAAAAAATGAAAATAACATGAGGGAGCAATGTTTTTTAGACATTCTTTTTTAACCTTGGGGTTATGGGCACCTGCAGGTTTGTGAACTCGTTCCAAGGGATCCGTGAAATACTTTTGAGGACAAAGAAGCCAGTGTTGGTAGGGATCCATCTATCTTCTGAAAAATGTTAGGTGTTAAGTAAATGAAAATGCCAATAAGTCTGTCATTTTTGGGAACAAAACTCCAAAATAACGGGGCTATGAGGCTCAGCAGAATACAGACAGCAGTGCTGTTGTATGTGAATTCATTCTGAGAATGCCTCACAAAAATACAAGCATATATTCAAATACTTGGAAATCTCCATAACTTTCCGTATACCAAGAAGTGAGCAATATTAACAAGTTCATGTTCCGAAATACAATAAAAGATAAATAGGAATGAACATAAATCACGGCTAATGAAGTATAACACAACAGTAGTAGGCTGTGTGTGCCTCCTGGAGAGGAGCTAGGCAAAAGCAACCAATCGAATAACTTCCTACTGAGAAAAGCTAAAATTCTCATGGACTCTTATAGCTTGTATAATGTCTAAAGAAAAAGTATGTTTAAAATACTCTTACCCTGCAGCATCCATTAGATAGCTGAAGGCTATATCTTTTCAACATGGTTAGTTTGGAAGCCAATAGTGCTTCACATATTTTCAGGCAACTTCAGTATTCATATGAGCTACAACTAAAGTTGTTGTGTATTTGTGTTCATTTTACTCAGCTGGGAAGTCATCAGTTCCAGGCAAGACTACAGACTTAGAATAAATCAGTGCCTTTCAGAAGCACTGATGAATTTATTTGTATTTCTTCAAGAAATGTCCCACTTCAAGGAACAAAACCCTGGCAAGGTAAGCACTGGAGAGTTAAAAGTGATAATTTGGTACTGTTGGATACAAAGGTGAGATAGATTTTAAAAAAGGAAAAAACACAGAAAAAGAAATCAAAACACATATTATGATGCATTCAGTCATGAGTTTCTCCTAAGTGCTCCCTGTGTGCAGAACACAGGTAGATAGATGATCAGTGAGAAAAGGTGTCCATGGTAAAGCTTAGCAATAAATTTCTACTCTTTCAGCTGCTGGAACCTCACCAGTCATTCTGTGGAAGGGAGATTTAAAGCATGACTATTTTATAAAACCTATAAAAAGCGGTCAATCAATCAGTAAATACAGCACCATTCAAAAACATATGTGTGGATTTTTTTTTCCAAATATTTGTAGTTTGCAGAAAGGGCTGTATTGTACGTATTACATGATAAAAGAGAATTCTTCATATTTTAGTGTGATAATTCTTCTTCTATACAACTTCAGGCATTTGATGCTCTTTTTCTGGAAAAACTGAGCTGTAGAACGCAGTTCATGAAGAAGAAAGCAAGAGCAGGGTTTATTCTTTCCTAATGGGAAGAGAATGATTATGTAGTTTCTAGTCCAGTGTGAACCAGCACTCTTTTTCAAAGAAAAAAGTAAATAAATGTAAGAACATATAGTACCAATAGCACTGGGAAAATGTAGATTTTGCTTTTACATTTTTATTGCTAATCATAAAAATGTAGAAGGAGATTAGGGTATGTATTTTTTTTCTCTTTTGATCGCAATTAAAAATGCTACAAAATTCTTCATGAAAGCCCTTAAGAATAAACAAATTGGAAGCACATGGTACTACACAAGAATATTAGGAGTTCAGACTGAAAATACCAGTGAACAGGAGGGTCAAATACATTTGAAAGGTATATGAATTATAAAAACACATGCAAAAAAATTCTGGCTAGGATGATGAGGTGATGTTTAAAAGAAGTTGGAGTATACTGAAGTAAGGAAATGCAATATTCGTATACCCAGTACTATAATTTTGCCCTGTATTAATGTGACAGAGTAGCTATATCTTTAAGATAGGTCTAATCCTGATTTAGAAAAGTTGATTTTAACAGCATGTTTTCCTTTCTTTTTCCTGACTTTGTTCTCTGAGCTGTATCACTATTTTGCAGTATAATTATAAGCACATTAGCTGTGTGCAAAATTTCTTTGAATGAGCAATTCTGTTGCAGTTCAACTCTAAAGCAAATGAATTTTTACTGTAAACTTTTAACAGATCAGTTCTGTACTCAATATTGTGCTTTGCAGAAAGATGGCTCTGGGCAGCCTGGTCTGGTGGTTGATGACCCTGCCCATGGCAGGGAGGTTGAAACTAGATGATTGTGGTCCTTTTCAACCCAGGCCATTCTATGATTCTGTGCATATCTCAGTTACAGCAGAAGCTGAATCTCAAATTTTCTATTTAAAATTCAACTCAGTCTTGTCGTTATGGGATGTTAGGGTGACCAGCAAGCATCAGAACAAATTGGTTGTGTGAAATAATATAACAGAACTATATAACTTACAAAAGGATTTCTTGCTTTTTTGGATGTATGCACTGTTAAATTGACCTAGCAATTGGTTTTGTTTCTTGCATATTAAGTGTTAAGCCATTTTTGTGTAATGAAGGCAAAGTAATTTCTCATAATTTTAGTAGTTACTGAGCCTGTGACTAAAAATAGCAGGTTTTTTATCATAGAAAAGGAAATACATTCTGACTAGCAAAAAGTGCACTGTTTTATGCTTATTTGCACAGGAAGTGTTAACGCATTTCCTAATTAAAAACAAAAAAAAAAAAGAAAGAAAAAAAAACCCTATTTTCCACTGCATTCTAGATTCATTTGAAATGCAACATTCTGGAGAATTTTTCTTTGCAAAATGATATAAATGTTTATAAAAATGGAAATGCTAATGGCCAATTTTCATGTCTTTGTCAGTTTTGCCTACTAGTCTGCAGTGTATGTACATTTTTCACTGTCTTGGGAAGTTACATTCCTGGAGTTGTCCTCTCCTATGTCTTGTGTAAGTATGGCCTCTTTTCCAATCACAGTTTATGTGTGTGGTTTGTTCATTATTTGGTCTCTGTATAGAGACTATGTTTTATTTATAGTTACACATACATGCATATATACACATGTATATATGCATACATAGATGTAAATTCTGACAAATGTCATTTGCTCTTTGGAAGACAGCTTACAGATTTCTTCAGCTTGTTGATTCTGACATAATGTTGCATAGCCATGTATCTCAGATAGGGATGTTAAAATCAGACTAAATCAAGATGATGATAAATGTTACAGTGATCATAAATTGTCCCTTGCTGGAGCTAAGAAGAATGTCATTTGGTGTGAATACCATGGTATTGTTTTGTGGTGAGTAGGAGTGGCTCCCAGAAGATGGATTTATTAAGAGTTTGTCAGACATGGGCATTTCAATGTGTGTTATCTTATGCAAAATTAATTATATTGTGTAGAATTAATAATACAATGCATTGTTTAATCTTTATTTATTAACTTTTTATAAAGCAATACTTCAGTGCATTTTCTCTTTCTGTCCTTATCACAGTATTGTGTGCCTTTTTATGTCCCTTCCTCAAGTGCAATGAATTTGGACAGAAATTATGCAACAAAGTTAAGTCTGTTCTGATGAAACTAGATTTTGGAATAGTGGAATACATCAACCAGAAGAAAAAAGAGAGATCTGGTGAGTAACTAAGTGCAGTCCCAAATAATGCATTTCTGTATGCAGATGTGCCACATTGTTTGCCTTGCAAACAGTTTGACATGTCCTGTGAAGCCAAATGTAAATGTGTTTCTTACTTTGAACCTGGCTGTCGTTAGCTTAATGAATGGTAATGTATGTCAGACATCTGGGTATAGGGACAAAAAAAAAAAAAAAGAAAAAAAGATTTAATGGAGGGAAGCAAGGCAGGACTGATGGTTCTCTTCATATGTGATTAGCTGTACTGCTTGTAGATTTTCAGAAAAAAAGCCTACTTGATATAAGGTATGAAATGTCTATTTCTATTTAGATAAGGCAAACTCATCCAGGAGAGAGAATGACTCAAGAGCACAAAACTGTACACCACAGGATTTTACTAAGAGACTGAGCTCTGTTCTAGCATCTGTATCTGCCTTGTTTTACTCCCAGCAGCAACAAGAAAAATGAGATGTTTTCTTCCCCAAATACTCAGTAAGCATTTAAGAATTATAGTAGGCCATTAGCTTGAAATTATTCAAAGTTTTTAGTCAGACCAGGGAGAAATCAGCTTAAAACAAAATCTCACCTATCTCACTCGAAATTCTTACAACCTCAGAAACCTTTGGATTTAAATTATAAAGCAATTTCAGGAAAAATATTTTAAGTGAATGAGGTTGTCTTAAGTTTGTTTTTGTAAGTGCTAGTTATGATTGTTAAAACTTCACAGTTGTAGTCATTGTTTGCAGGTAGCCTAAACTTTTTAGTCAGCGTTATCTTAGTAGATTTCATATCTGCTTTAAAATATGTATTTCTTACAGCAGTTAATTGTATAATTTCCTGTTCCTAAACACAGTGAGAGGAACCAGCTGCATTTTTTTGTTTCTCTCACATGTAGTGAAATAGTTGTTGGAAATAAGGAATAATGTATTGAGTTGTTTCTTTTATGAATTGTTCCACCTTGTTCTAGTTTTAAGTGAATCTGGCAAAGAGAAAGATTAAGCTGTTGTTTCATAAATTTCATAAGCCAGTGCTGGAAAAATGGGCCAGTTTAGAGTTCTTTCCTGCCTCTCATCCTGGAGTTTAATTTAACCCAGGCAAACTCCCTGCATTTTTTAACCACTTGGCTTCAGCTCATGAGTTCACACGTCCTTGTACTGGCACAAGAGAAGAAGCAGCAAGTTGCAAAAACAGCCAATCAACAATAACATGACTGTGCTTTCCAGTGATACTGGCTTATATTAGTTTAAAATATTCACCAGGTTATTCTCAGACAGAGAGGAAATTAGGTGAAAATTGTGTTTCTGTTCATCTGCTAGGAGCAACATTCTGCCAAACATCACAGGATACTTTGTATGCATGTTTGCATAGAAATGTTATGAAAGCAGAGTAACTGGGTGTAAAAAAGAAAAAAAGAAAAAAGCAAAAGGAATGAATATTTCATGCAGTTATCCAAAAAACTGTATGTTTTCAGGTAAAAGTAATGTAATGTGCTGGCGTAACTGCACTGCCTGTTTTAACAGTATGTTGCAATTGCAGCTTGTACTGGCAGCATAGTTTAAAAGGTAAATATATATTGCTGAGGACATATTACGTTAATGTGATCCAACAGAAGCTTCTGAAGGAAGTACAATGCAGATAAATAAATGTGTTTGAATGAATTTCAGAGCAGCATTCTCTCTTCTGCCTTGGCTGCTGCCCAATATATTTTAATAGATACCGAGCCTTTTACCCAGCCTTTTTTCTCACCTCCATAGCATATTACATAAATGATACCTATATCAACAGGTGACAGTTTGCTGTACTACCTAAATTGTGTGATAGAGAGCACATACACAGTCTGGAAGTCCATTGTCGTGAGTAGGATAATTTCTTTTTTTCTTTCAGAAACAGCAAAAACAAAAGCCACAGAAGATGACAGTGAATTAGACATATCAGCCCTGTGTCCTAAGGTGACTTTTTTCAGTCAGCCATATCTTCTTTTTAAAATCTATATAGATAATATCTAGACTACTATCTAGATCAGTGTGTTTATTTTGTACTGGCTATAGAATGATTAAACTAGACTTTCATAGCAAGGGCAGCTGTTTGTATTTGCAGAAGTGAAACTGCAGCTAATTTTTAAAAATTAAAATATAAAAGGGAAATGCATAGAAACTCTACATAATTTGTCAGATACTTATTTAATCATTTGTCAGATCGTTTTCAATAATAGTATAAATCAGTGTATTATCTACAAATATCTTTCCAAGTATGTATGAGAACATTCTAATACCTCCTTTTTTCTCAATACGTATGGCAGACAATTTTTACAATATAATCAGAACATCAGTTGTTAAAAAAGCAATTAGATTTCTAGAAATTCTGATACAGTATTGGATTGGTCATGTGTAGAGCCTGACTTTGACAGTGATCACCTTGAAGGAGTTTTAATATTCTCAAATTTATATATAACCGGATAAAAAGTTGTAGTAGACATAACTGAACACTGATAAATTCTTACAGGATAAGGAGTTAAGATTTGGCTGTGTTTCAGATATCTTGTGGATAATGTTTTTGTTTTCATTCGATGCATTTCTTTATATTTATGCATATGTTGTATTTGCAAGTTTATTTTGATTTCATTACAGTAAGATATTAAGAATAAGTAATTGGAATTTCCTATGCTTTAGCTGAATATATTCATGAATTAAGAAGACGGATGGTTCATTTCTAAGTCTTCTGTAATATTATTTTAATATTTCTACCATTAAAACTTAAATAAAAGATAGTGTATAGTGCTGTGATATGCAGGATACTTCTTTTTCAGTATCTTAACATTGGCTTCCTGTGTGAATGTTTGAATTTATATGTAGGTTAGTCCTGCAGTTGTTGCCAAAGAGCTGTCAGTGTCTGACACAGATGTATCGGAAGTATCTTGGACTGATAATGGGACCTTTAACTTATCCGAGGGGTATTCTCCACAGACAGACACATCTGATGGTATGTAACAGCTTCATCTATTTTATCAGCAAATTGCAATCTTGTAAGTTACCTGAAAACTATTAGCGAATTTGAGAACAGAAGTGTTCGGCCTTTTTTGGTTTGTTTTCACTTGTTTGCTTATTTGTTTGTTTTTCAATACTGAATTTAAATTTCATTCTAGTGTTTATTTTGGATACAACTTCTATAAGAGCTGTCTTCACCTTAAAAATATTGAAGCACATCACTAGGCATCTAAACATATAAGTAGCAGTGAGTAAAACAGATGCATCCAAATATGTGCCAGATCTCTTCTACCAGGCCTATTAAGCAAGTAAACATTTTAAGTTAGTATCAGTTCTTTTAAGAAAGAAGTATATACTTTGAATGGCTAAACAGACAATTAAAGACAGTCATGAGCCTAAATGAGACATTAAGACCAAGACTAAGAAGAGATCCTCAAGCAATTGTCTTGATCTTGTCTGGAACTTAGAAGCTCAGGCTTTTTACAGACCAAGCATTCAAGTTGTACTAAGCTTGAATAAATACCAAGAATAACGGTAGTTTGGTGTAAAGCTTTGTGTAGATTTGTTGCTCTGCTGATCTTGCACCTTTCTTCTAAGAAATTCACTGAAAATGGCAAGTAGGATGATATTACATAGTCACATTATAAAGGCCAAATTAATAACATAAATTATTTTGCTAATATTTTGAGTTATAAATGGCCTGCATTGCATGATCATAAAATTGTAAATTGGGATGTCTTCAAAGATGCTTCCTGTCTCATTGCCCCCAGCTAGTACTGCTACATTGGTTATTCCATCCCAGTTGCAAGACTGCACAGTTCTGAACTTCATAACATTCCCTTTCATTTCTCCAGCCTAATGAGGTTTCTCACCTCCAGAATATTAATTGCATCCCAGACCAGTTTCTTTCTGTCCATCAATTTGCTGAGAGTGCACTCCAACCCGTCATCCACATCATTAATAAAAACTTTGAACAGTGTTGGCTGCAGTGCCTTTCAGAGGCACTACCACTAATTGGCATCCAGTTGGATTTTGTGTCAGTAGTCACAGCCCTGTAAGCCTTGCAGTTGAGCCAATTTTCCATGCACCAAGCAGTTCACCTACCCAGTTCACTCACCAATTATGCTGTAAGGAAATGTGGGAGAGCGTATTAAAGGCCTTGCTAAGTGAAAAATAAAAAACATCCACTCTTCTCCCCTGCGGAGCACCTCAGCAAACTGGACATACCCACAAGCATGAGACCAGATTGGATGAGTTCAAGGACTGGCACATTTCTTCTCAAAGCTCTCTGCATTTGAGCTGCCACTTTGCATACAACACAGCCCTTCCTCATCAGCTTTCCAGCCTCTTTTTCCAAAAGGAAATGAAGAAAATGATGTATCAGAGCTTTAGGATTCTCTTCCTTAGCCCTTATGAAAGCTCATATTGCTTGTTTTCATAGAAAGTAAGTTCAAATTGAATATTTTTTGCTTTCTCATTCAGATACTGCCTAGCAGTATTAGCTCAAAGTATTCCCTTATGCTCATTCAGGTGTTTTCCACAAGCCATGTATTGTAGTCAGTATGCTTTACACATTTCTAAAAACATGCCATTAAAGCAGTCAGTAAAATCTAATTTTTTACCACTTTGCATTCTACTTGTATCCACTTGAATACATGAAACCGTACTGGTCATCTGTAGTTTCTCTTATTTTCTTCAAACAATACTGAAAGGAGTTGTTCTCAAGCAGTTTTTCAGATCTCCACATAAATATTGTAAAATGACTTCAGGCAGAAAATTTTAATGTTGTTTTCCCACTGAAATGGGAAATGCAATATATCTAAGTGCTTGGTTTATTTTTTTTTGTTCCTTTGTTTTACATTTTAATCATTTTTAATGGGATTGCAATGATTTCCTCACACGGTATGAATTCAAATTCAAAGTCAGGTTGGTAGCAGGCGATACGAAGTACCAGGTTTTTATTTTATTTTAGATGTAAGATAAAGCTCCGCTGTGTTAAGACTACGGAAGATTATGGAATAATAAGTGTATTCAAAGTTACAAATTGCATTTTTAGATACGGCTGCATTTTGGAGGAAGCCTTTCTTGTTTGCTAACAGTTTCCCTCTGTTAATCCTGTGATAGATTTTGACCGACCTAGTGATCACGAAGAAGCTTTCGCTAGAGATCTCTCAGAATTCCCTTCTTTGGAAAATGGTGCAGGAACAAATGACGATGATGACTCGAGCATTGGTATGCCCATCCAGCAAAACAGAAACAAAGAACAAATGTCTTTAAAGGCGGAGCGTTCTTCCAGACAGAGTAAAGAGAGACCGTCCACCGCAGGGCTCTCCTTGCCTTTGACCAGTGACCAAACCTTTAATTTAATGAGCGGTATTGCTGGGGATGTCATCGCTGCCGCGGTGACTGCTGCCATCAAAGACCAGCTACAGTCTGTGCAGCCAGCTCCCTCACGCCCGGCGCCCAGCTTGAGTGAGGAGACAGACACCGAGGAAGCCGATGATTTTGAACTGCTCGACCAGTCAGAGCTTGAGCAGATTGAGAAAGAATTGGGACTTTCACAAGGCCAAGAAGCAGAATCCCAGGAAAAAAAGAAGTCTTCAGGCTTCCTTTCACATCTGCTTGGAAACCATTAACCTGGGAATTGCAGCTGGTGACATAAAGGAAATGAAACATAGAACACACACAAAAATCAAATGCAAAAAAAAGGAAAATTCTGAGCTGTAAGCTTTAACTATCACGTTAGATGTGTTGTAATAATTTCCCTTATGCAGAGTGAATTAACTGGATAAATATCAGCTGATACTGATAGTTTAATGTTTCTGGTAGTTATACCTCACTGTAATAGCATGGAAATGAATTATCTATCCACTGTTCGGTCGCAGATGTGTGTTGGAGGTCAGTTGTTCAAAAGGATTGGGGGAGAGGTTTTTTTACCTTATGCCAAACATGCATTTTGGGGTCCTGAGCCAAATTTTCAACATCGGCAATTGATTTACTCATAGTTGCCAACCATGTAATACAATTAATGGTTAACACAGCAAGGATGAGTTATCAGAGGATCGCAGTGAGATTAACTAAATCTCACCTCCTTCAATCATGGCAGGAAGTATGAATCCCTGCAGTTCCTGTTATGTATAGTGCATCTCCTACTTAAGAATGCATTAACCAGCGGAAGTCTGGTTTAAATGTGTGTGCAGCACTATTGGAGAACTTTATTTAACACTTAAAAAACTTTGAGTTATATTGGATATGGTGATGCATTTCCACATTCTTTGCTGTTTTAGGCTTGTAGAGTTGTGAAGTGGCACGCTATGTGACTGACCACCTGCTGTGTTCCTTCAGAGTCTGGCCCTTGGCAGTATTGCCTGTGTAAAGTCAGCCAATACATTTTTATAGATGAGTTACTGTGTAATCTGAACAGCCTTTTGGGGAGCAGGTGGGATAGTTATTGTTTGGACTAGGGAAGATATAAAAGTTAGAGGTGAAGAGAAGGGCTTTTTTAGCTGCCACTTGCATAATTCCAAATGTTGTGGGGTTTGTTTCTGTTTTGTTTGTTCATTTGGTTTTGTTTTTCCCTGTAACAACTGCCATCACTTTCAACAAAAGTTGTACAAGCTGGATCTTGTGAGATACTTAAAGTACTTAGTGATTTGCTATGGAAGACACTCAGAGTCTTTTTCCTGGCATGTAATTTAAAACAAACAATCAAACAAAAATGAACTTGTTTCAGTGATTGACCATTTTAAACTCCACACATGCTCAGTGAATGGCGTGGGATCTTAAGCAGGTTATTCTTTTAACTTTTCCTGGGGCTTCTTCGTTCACCTTTAACAAAATCAAATTGTAATACCACACAACAGTAATCAAAGAAATAGGAAGAAGTAAAGTTAGTTTTTCTACTGTGACATAAACTGTTAGCAAAGTGGAGGGACCATGTCAGCTGCTACTACTGAAGTGATTTTCCATTTGCTGGCATTTTAAGAGGCGAATATTGTCATCTAGGACCCTCAGAAAGTTCAGCAACAGAGTATAAGAATTTCCACTAATGTGTATGTGTTGGTAAACCTGTGTTTGAAGTTAACTCCATTCTAATTACTTTTTCTTTTCTTGAGGTGAAAAGGTAGGCAGATGGCCAAACAGATTGTAGCTAAAGGAAAGACGCTGAGAATTTTTGACACTAGCTTTATCGTCGCTTGTGCTTTTGTGTCAGTAATGCATATTGACCGTGTTTGCTGTCTTTTACCAGTAAAAAAGTGAGCCTGTGCCTTCATTATCAAATCCATTTCAAAATAAGTGGATGCTGGATATAGATCACCCAAGTTGCTGATTTGAAATTATAGCATCTTACCATTAAAAGCAAGTTTCTGAAAATTATTTAAAAAACATGGCCACGTTGCTTTCACACTGTTAATTGTTAAGTTTCCTTTTCAGCTTCCCCCAGCCTGTCCTTCCCATCTGGAAAAATAGAAAGAAAGAAAGCTTTTGCTGGGAAATCACGAAGTTTAAAGGCCGTTTATGTTTCTTAGGCAAGAACATTGTGTCCTTTCTGCGTGTACAGGGCAGTAGATACAGTGAGAAGCCTACAACTCCCAGGATGCTGATGGGACTTTGCAGAGCTCCTAGACAAGGTGTGCTCTCTGAACAGGGGTGCTGGTGCCCAGGGAAATGACAGGCTGCAGGATAGGGGAGGCTGGGGAGGCAGCAGTCCTTTGTAAGCTTCGCTGGAGTGGGTGGGTGAGAGTGCCTGTCAGCGATGGCATTGCAACAGCGTGCACTTTATTGTCATTTTATGAAGAATACTTGTGGTCATGAAAGTACCTAACACTGGGTGCTCTTCTAGGAGAATAAATTAGATCAAGGAGGATTAGCCGTTGGAGGAGTTTATTGGACTTTTTGTAAATGATCCATTTTCTGGTGTCAACGTAGATCAGTTTTTCTCCGATGAAGTGTGAGTCTCAATTTTTTTACAGAAACTAATAGCAAAACTTGAGCAAGCAAATCATTAAAGATTAGGGACATTGTTGCTTATTTGAGTGTCTGGAATTTATCTGTTCTCATGGTAGCTGATTATATAGTATTTTTTATGCAAGCCCCTAAGTACTGTGTAATGGGAAGGAGGTCATTTTGTAGCATACAATATTCCTTCTAAAGTAGAGGAAAGATGTTTATTTTCTGTGGAATGTCTCTGCTCCCAAACAAGGGCTGGTAGGAAACCCTCTGCTCAGCCACAGTACATTCCACAAGAGTTGGATAGCAGAATGCAAAGGAAATATTTCTCTCTTCTGTAACCCTTCCACCCTGTTTAGTTGGAAATAACTTCAGAAGCCTTCATTAAGCTGTATTCTAGCAGCAGCTACAACGTAGCCACTATGTACAGCTCCGGTCACATCAACTGCCCCTGGTTCAACTTGTCTCCTCGCTAACCTTTGTCATCATCTTCTCATCTTCCAAAATGAAATACAAGGGCAGGGAGAAGGCCCAGTGAGCACAAGTAGGTTGTGGCCTTGAAGCCTGTGTTTGTGATGCTAAAGGCCAGCTTTTGGGCACTTTCCAGGCCAACCCCAGCACGGTCAGGCTGTGGAGCATGGAGGCGAGCTCACTCTGAGCTCGATGCCATGGGATCTGCCCACGTGGTGCCCTGACCCCACTTGAAAACCTACCCACGTGTTCCTACACCTCAGTATCAGACTGGGCTGTCAGCACTGAATCAGGACTTTATGCACATGAAGTGCAGGGCGAGAGCACCTCTCTGCACTGCGTGCTGTCCTGATGCCCCTCTGGGCACTGACCCATGGCTTTCCAGCTGAAAGCAGCACAGGAAGGGAACTCATTTGGCCCGAAGCGGTAGGATCCCAAACCGCTCTTGTTCCCTGGTTTGCTTTGGTTTGCACTTTTCCAGACTCCATCTCAGCACTCTGAGCACACTTCCCCCGCAGTCCCAGTGTGTGTTGGCAGCTCACCGGTGCACGGCGCTCTGTGAGCAGCACCTCCATAGCGGGTAACCAGAAACTGGAGCGTTACAAATCATCTGTGTTTGAAGTACTTCACAGCACTTTACCTGGCTTGGTTACTATTTTGTAAACATGGGATTATTATATTGATTGTTTGTAAGACCATTTAATAAATATGTGTTAGTTTTTATCTTTCATTATATCTAATTTTATGTCTATATCTAATTTTATGTCTGTTCTCAAGATAGGAAAAAAAAGATGGTGAGAAAAGCCTTCGGTCGACTTTTTGCCGCACTTTGTTTATTCCTTTCCTTTCCCTGATGTGAACCAGCGCTTGGCGGTGTGTCGGGTCACTCTGAATAAACGTTGATCTCAGCTCTCGGCCACCGATTGCCGATGTGGCGTTATTTCCCCGGGGCGGCGCGCTCGGGGCCGGCCTCCACGCCGGCAGGGGGCGCAAAAGGAGGCGGGGCGGGGCCCTGCCGGACGGAAGCGGCCGGCCCGCAGCCCGGACTTCCTGCGCGGCTCGGCGGCTGCGGCTCCACGCCTTCAACTCGGCCGGCACACGGCGTGGCGCGGCTCTCTCGTGTCCCCGGGCGGCAGGTGCGCGCTCCGAGAGGGGGTGGCGGGCTGCCGCGGGGCACGGCTCCGCCGGGTTGGGGAGGAGGCGAGGCCTGGCACAGCCACGCGGGTCCCGGGCCGGAGTCGGGCAGCTGCGGTCGCGGCTCGCTGCAGGTCGGACCCGAGTCGGCTCGCGGAGCCGCCAGGGCTCTCGGCTCTTTTTTTTCCCGTTTCCCTTCTTCCGCGTGTAAGCTGGGCTGACGCTTCTGGTTCGAACGCTGAACCGAACGGCAGCCGGGCCTTATTGCCTCGTACCCGCCTGGCGAGAGCTGGGCCGGGCCCCTCCCTGGCCTTCCGAAGAGAGGCGGTCACCCCCGGTAGGCGCGGCTCTGCGTCACCCCGTTTATGGCAGTAAAATACGGGTGTACGTGTAGGTGGGGAGGGAGGTGCTCCGGAGGGAGGCTGGGGTCCTTCAGCGGGCAGAGACTATGTTTGTAAGCAATGAAGTAGGAATCCGCTTCTCGAAAACTGCTGATTCAGACAGCAGCTCTTCTTTTGTGCATCTGTCACTGAGGAGTCTCCCTTTTGGCAGCTGCTGTTTTCTCCCTGCTGTCAGACCCCTCTCCTCCTCACGTGTCATTTCTTTTGGTTCTCAGATTAAACCAGGTGGAGTAGCTTTGGCAATCTCCAATGTGAACACGTCGCTTGGCTGTTTGCTTTTTTTACTGCGTTCAAGATATTCCATCATTTTTTCTCTTAAGTGTCACTGAGTACTGAAAAGGAAGGGGGTGTGTGGGTTTAGGGAGAAGAACAGCAGTTAGACGTCTCTGCCCTCCTGGTCTCCAGACTGATGGCTCTGCAGGACAAAGGAAGGGTGTTGTGAACTGTGCACACACCACTCCAGAATAGCTTGAAAGCTTTTTATTTTTAAAAGTAGTAATTTTTTCTTCCGTCAGGCGGAAGGAAGTTCTTTTCCAAGAGAGTGGTGAGGTGCTGGAACAGGCTGCCCAGAGAGGTTGTGGGTGCCCCATCCCTGGAGGTGTTCAAGGCCAGGTTGGATGGGGCCCCTGGGCAGCCTGGTCTAGTATTAAATGTGGAGGTTGGTGGCCCTGCATGTGGCAGGGGGGTTGGAGCTTTGTGATCTGTGAGGTCCCTTCCAACCCAAGCCATTCTGTGATTCTGTGAAGGTTGTGGGAAGTGGAAAACCAGTGTCAAAGTAGGTTTTCCCTTTTCTGTTTACTATGAAGTAATTGCAAGTCTCTTCAAAAGCCTATAGATAACAGATTGCAAGCTCGATAGGAACTTTTCACTTAAAGTAAGAAGGGCTCTCAAAGTACTGCTTTTAGGGCAGAAAGCCCTATTTTTGATCTGTTTGAGCCCTGACAGGTGCAGCATGTGCTGAGTCCAGAGCTGGGCTGCTCCAATGCAGCTGTGGTACCAGAAATCTCTGATAACTACCTGATCCTTGCACTTGTAGATCCTCCTGATAGGCATGGTTATCACCAGTGTTAGCAGATGGCACGATATCTCTTACGCTGCCTTACCTGGGTGCTGTCCGGATAATGTTGGGTTGTTTTTATTGTTGTTTATTGATGTGTGTGTTGTTTTTTTTTTCTTTTTTTAGCTTTCCAGTAATGGCAACCTACACGTGCATCACTTGCCGTGTGGCTTTCAAGGACGCTGACATCCAGCGTGCCCATTACAAAACCGACTGGCACCGCTACAACCTGAAGCGCAAGGTTGCCGACATGCCTCCCGTCACCGCTGAGAACTTCCAGGAGAGAGTCTTAGCACAAAGGGCGGTGGCTGAGGAGCGGGACAAAGTCACTGCCACCTACTGCACGGTTTGCAGCAAGAGATTCTCCACCTTCAACGCTTATGAGAATCACTTGAAGTCCAAGAAGCACCTGGAGCTGGAGAAGAAAGCTGTTCAAGCCATCAGCAAGAAGGTGAAAATATTAAATGAAAAGAACCTGGAAAAGGGGCTCGCCGCGGAGAGTGTAGACAAAGATGAAATGAACGCAGCTATACAGCAAGCCATCAGGGCTCAGCCATCCTCATCTCCAAAGAAGACGCCCTTACCTCCTAATCATGCAAGTAGCTCTCCAGTTCCTATGGAAAGTGCCAGCAGTCCGTTGCAGTGTAAAGAACGAACCGAGAAGCCTCCGCGGCTACAGTGGTTTGAACAACAAGCAAAAAAGCTGGCAAAACAGGAAGCAGAGGAAGAAGAGGATTCAGAAGGTAAGTTGGTAAGCATGATAGATAGCTTGGGGCAAGCTGTGGAGATGTTTGTTTTGTGCAAAAGCTGCCTTTTATTTCCTTTAGTGGTATGGCTGTTTTCATCACAGAAGACCTTCCTGTTAAGTTTTCATTTTAACAGGGCATTTCAGGTCAGTTCACGCTTGCAGGCAGAGGCTCTTTATTGCAGCATCTGAAGAGTCAGCAGCACAAGACACTAATGCATGTGAAGGCTGAATGTAAACGCTGTTAACAATACAAGCACCATCTTCTATGTAAAATTCCAGAATTCCTGGGCTAACACAGGTTACCCTAAAACTATTCCTGAAACAAAGATGAACAGAATCTAGTGGTGTTTATTGCTCTTGTACCATGGTTTGCTTTCCTACTCTGTTGAAGGGGGTTTGGAGTGCAGGTTTTGTTCTTCACTGCCCATCAAGACCAGAGGAGGAAATTTGCTCCTTAGCCTGTTGCGGTGTGGCACGGCTTCTCAGCACATTGGTATATATAATAAAAATAGCTGAGGAATTGTTACCCCTACTGCCCCTTCTGCTCCCCACCTGTGTTTACACAGCTCTGCTGGGGCCAGCTTGGAAGGCAGGCAACAGAAATAAGCAGAGCTTCAAAATTCCCAGGAAAAAAAAAGGGTTATTTTTAATCTGGACGTTGCCAGTGCTGTAGTTTGCAGTGCAGCTTACAAATGCATCTACTGCAACATTAGAATGAGATAATTAAACTGTGTCAGTAGTTGGGGACAGGAATGAATGCAGTGGGAACGTGCTATTTCAGCTTCAGTACTGGAATGTAGATGAAGCATACTCTTCTCCTGTTGGTTGTAAATATCTGTCATATTTGACAGTGGCTTTGTGCATTTACAAAACGTCAAAATAAAGAAGAAATAGTACTTCTCTGTGGAATTCAAGCCCTTCCTGATGATCCCTGAACCTCTGGGGAATCCCCAGTTGCTTGTAGTCTGCATTGAGCATGGCAGTAGTTCTGCAAGCATGTCAACTGTTTAGTAAATCCTGAGTAACTCTGGTAGCTGGCTTTGCTCTCTTTTGTTGAGAATGGATGTGTGAATGGGAGGGTGTTTGCTGCTAAGTCGCTGCTGGAAATGAACATTTTTATGTTTCTGACAGAGCTGTATTGTTTTTAATGAGGCATGCACCTGTTTTTGTGCTGAAGCAAATTAAATGTAAGGCTTTGAAACTGCAGTAAAGTGTTAATTGTTGAGAAAATGGAGGGGAAAAAAACTTTTTTATGAGCAGTTTTGAGTTTTGCTGTGTGTTTTACAAAAGGTAAAGAGATGTTTTACTGGCAATGATATAATCTTGTGCCTGGAAATAAGCGTGTGGCACTTCCTGGAAAGAGCAGAGAACAATATTTTCAATTACAACTAATTTTTAACTTAATTGGTAACTACTGTGCTTGGAAGAAATAAGCAAATAAATATTTCTTAACCTTCCATTTAAAAGGCTGGGAAGACATGGATTCTGATGAAGACTTTGGCTCTGAAGAAGAGATGGAAGGTGTGGGAGAAGAGGAGGAGAAGCAAGCAGAAGCTGAAAGCACTTGTGCCGTTGGGGCCATACCGGTCACAGACTGCTTGTTCTGTTCCCACCATTCCAGAACTCTCATGAAGAACGTGGCCCATATGACGAAAGTTCACAGTTTCTTCATTCCAGACATAGAGTACCTTGTGGATCTCAGAGGACTAATAAAGTACTTGGGTATGCCTGTAAATCTCTTCTGATTTTAACTGGGGTAATTAAAGACTCTTATTGCTTATTTTTGCTTGGATACAGCTTAAAGCATGTTTGGACATTGCTTTTTTGGATTTTATTTATTTTTTTTTCACATCAAGAGGCTGTCTAGTTTAGCTTTTTGATTGTTATGGGGTTTGCTAGGGAGGGTGAGAAGAAGACTGTACTGTGCAAGCCCGTGGTCTTGTATCCTGTAGGTCTTACATGGTATTCTAATGCTGAAGAGGTTTTTCAGCTAATACAAAAATTGAGGATGAAACTCAATTACTGAAGTGTGTATTTGAACTGCCTTGTACTGGGGGAGGTCCTGAATATCTAGTGAGTTGTGACTCATCCATTGACAGTATCAGTGAGTAAAAGCTAAAAGCTGGGCAGAAAATGTCCTGCTTGAAGTCTGCAGATAGTGATGAGAATAAATTAATTTGGAAGTATTGCATAGAAAGATGTATTGGAGGTATGAGATGTTTTATTGAGAATACATAGTGATCCATACCTTGTCATGCAAATTCTTTCAGTGTTAAGGCTTTGTCCCTTATTCCGTATGATCTAGGCATAGGAAGAGCAGGAAACGAAGGATTCAAGGCTCTTCCTCTGTCTCTCTACCTTCAAGCTGGGAAGCTTGAATCACAGAGCTGTTAATTACTGAGTAGAGAGGCTCTTTTCAGACCAATAAGTGTCATTTTTTTCTGCAGGAGAGAAAATTGGCGTTGGGAAAATCTGCATCTGGTGCAATGAAAAGGGAAAGTCCTTCTACTCTACGGAAGCAGTACAGGCTCACATGAATGATAAAAGCCACTGTAAGCTCTTCACAGATGGAGATGCAGCTTTGGAATTCGCAGACTTCTATGATTTTAGGTAAGGACACTTTTCAGCTGAACTTTTCATCAGAATCTCTTACTAATTTTTCAAATTTAGTCCTGTTCCTGATTTTGATACTTTGTGTTAGTGCTTTGCCACCTTTCTACATTAGTTTAACAATGTGATTGATTCTTCTGTCTGCTGACTTTTAAAACCTACATGAAAATATATTTTCAATTGTTTTGTATATTTGCTGTTACTGTTTAGATTTCAAAGATCAAAAAAGATTATAAAAGGATATAAATACAATTTTTGTTACCTTTTAGGTAGATTTGGGGCTTACAACATACTCAATTTTTTTCTTTTAAGCAGTTGGATTTGAACTGAATTGTTACGGTGTAGAGGCCTCTTGTTGAACTTCTTTTGGTTATCCTCAGCTGTAATGGTTTTGGTCAGAAATAGCCTCTGTTGTGGTGAAGTCCTCCCATTCATTAGTTGTGCAGAACTGGTGGCTTTTCAGAATATAGAGCTGTTAAGTGTGTAGTAACAGAACCATACTGGACTGTAGAACTTTGTGGAGGAAGGGATGACTCTGTCATCAGCCTTTGTTCAGGAGATGATATTACTGGCTAGAACTCTCAAACCATGATTGATTAAATCTGACAGTACTTGGGACTTGCTGTAGCTGTGGGTGGTGGATCTTTTGTGTATTGGGTGTGGGTAACTGTGGCTGCTTGCCACTATGAAACATGTACTACTACTGCTCCCCAGGAGCAGTTACCCTGATCACAAGGAAGGGCAAGACATGGAGGTGCCTGCAGAGCTCCCACCTGAGAGAGAATTGGAATACGATGATGACACCATGGAGCTGATCCTCCCTTCAGGTAGCACAGCATTTCTCAGCATTTGTCCTCTACACAGTTTTCGTAATATTCTTGATGATCATATGTCAGAAGCAGCATCATTATGCTTTCCTCCTTTGAATAGGTGCAAGAGTGGGTCATCGTTCTTTAATGAGATACTACAAGCAGCGGTTTGGTCTGTCAAGAACGGTGGCTGTTACTAAAAATAAGAAAGCAGTGGGTCGGGTGTTGCAGCAGTACAGAGCTTTGGGCTGGACAAGCCAGACAGGTAAGTGACATGTTGAGGTTTTTGCAGAAATAATGAAAAAAAGCTTGCCAATATGGGGAGGAAACGTGTTGATTTAATTGTAGAACTCTAATCTATCTTTTAAAGTAGTAACCCTGCAAATGCATATGTCTTTCTCTTCTCCTTTCTCCCTGAAGGGGCAGTCTTTGCTCAGAAACGTGATATGCAGTACTTGCAGAGGATGAAGTCCAAGTGGATGCTCAAGATGGGAATGAGTAACAATGCTACAAAGCAGATGCATTTCCGGCCACAAGTTAGATTTTGAGTATCCCAAAGAACTGCCTGCAACAGATTTTGGGAAGGGGGAGTTTGGTGTTTCTGACTTGTGGATTCTGCTATTAAAATGGACTCGGTTTGTAACAGGTGTCAGTGTGCTGGCATGTTTCCCTGTATTTGAGATGATATCTTGCAGGATGCCTCTCTTCCCTTAAAATGATGGTTCACCTAACTTAAAGTGTATTTGATTAAATATATGGCAAAGTAATCACTACAATGAATGAGGATGTGTGCGTAGTCTTGCTGCCCATCTTTGTGAAATACTTTTCTGTGGGGCAGCTGACATTGTCATTTGTATGAATATCTTGAGTTTCCAGTTCTGTGAAACAATTGAGGCCAGAATAAGATCCTAGATCTAAGAGAGAGTGTATTAAAGGTATGTATTTGTGGTGCCAGACATCAGCTAGCTGGGTGTTTGGGACATCTGTCTGGCACCAGCAAGGTTAAAATTTGAGAGCAGAGATTCTGGGAAAGTTAAGTGATAATTACTTGAAGAAATACACTTATGGAAAACATAATTCCAAGATGAATTTTGCGTCTGGAAGTTGACTTTACTTGCTTAATGCTCCAGCTCAAGGCTTGATTAATAACTTATGGTGCAATTGATTTACATTGAAGTTCATGAATTTTTGTTACCTGAAGACTGCTCAAAATTACTCTAACGTGCAGGTGAACGTCAATCTAAACTTCTGATGATTTGTTAAAAATTTCCTAATTAAAACTGTCGTTAATATTGATATCAGCTTCTGTTTTTCCCATTGAGTGCTTCTGTTTCTTATGATCTTGCAGAAGTAAAGTGGCTTGAGATATGTATTGGGTGAAATGGGGCGTTCTTCCTGCCAGAACTGTTCTTTGCCACTTGAGCAAATTACCTGTTACAGACTGGCGTAGAGAAAACTTGCTTGTTAAAGAGCTCAGGCATTGGTGCCTAGCATTGATCCTTGTGCTGTAGATATTAAAGGCTTTTAGTGACCTTACCAAGTTCTGACTTTCTTGTGAAGAGGTAGGCAATTACGTACAGATTGTAGGCTAGCTCATGAAGCCCCTAAATTGTTAAGTGTATGCTACTGGAAAATTGCTGTGTCCGTTCATCACATTAGCTGCAGCTGTTTACAGTCAAATTGCTTCCACACTTTAAGATTATTCCGCACTCCCTTGTAGTGGCTTTGACTGACACGATTTCAGCATCAGAGCAGTACTCGTGTGTAGCTTATAGAATAGCTGAAAGTTACATTAATTATAAGGCTTTTGCAGGATAGTTGTCCTAAGCATAACCTAATGTGGTTACTGATGCCTTAGAGGTATGTATTGAAGAGTGTAGGAGTGAAGGCAGAAATAATGGGACAACTGATGAGATGATATGTCGACTTTGAGTCCACAAGGTTCAGGCTGAAGGTACGTAAATTTTGCTGCCCTCCTTAATGTGAAAAGGCAACCAGAGGAAAGTGCTGTTGTTGTGCAGACTCATCTCCAGCATCCTGTTGCTTAGGAAAGGATGGGGATCTGAGTGCCCTCAACAGTCTGGTTTGGAAAGATATGCGTATATTTTTCCAATAATAGTGGTCGTTTGCCAAGTCACAGGGAAGATGAAATAGGCAGTCTGTAATGTATCTGTCTATAGCTCTGTTCTGTACTTCCTATTGTAGTTTAGTCAGAATAAAATGGAGCAATAACAGGGAAACATACCAATATATTGAAGGAGGAGGGTAGTATTTCTGTTTAATTCCAAGATGAAAACAGGTGCCTTGGAAAACCAGCAGAGGGAAGCCTTTTTCCAGTCTTGTATTTACTATGAAAAGAAAGTGTAGTATGAATACATTCATGCAGAGTACTGATTGAGCAAGGGAGCAAAGCTCAATACAAGTAATATCTTCATTTAGGTCCAGGGAGAGCACTGTTAGTAAAGGCCAGTAGGAACAAGTATGCAGACTATCTGCAGTATTCAGCAACAGGCTGCAGTTGCAGGTAACTCCAGCTTTGTCAAAGCATCTGAGAGTATGTTTATTAAATGTGCTTCATAGTATTACTTGTTTGGTCAGCTGCCTAGCCTGAAAATTGTACGATGGATAGCTGAGGGCAGCTTCTTGTTTCTTGCCACAGAAGGAACTAGATTTCCAGCTGTACATAGCCTTCCACTTGTACTCTCCTGATCTGACCTTGTGATTTCTGGCTCTTACTGGCAGAATGAGAAGAGAATGAAGTCTAGGGGCAACTAAGTAGACTTGAGACAGACCGCAAATGAAGTGGGCCCTCTGAGGCAAGAATTTCCTGGTATGGTTGTGGGTGTGCTGTTCCCAAAGGGAGGGGGTTATCCCTTTTCAAACAGGTGCATCAGTAGTGGGAGTGGCTGGGTAGAGCATAGGAAAAGTATTACAGTTTGGGGAAGGCTGGATGTTCTGCTGGATGTTCTTGTCCAGTAATAACTGCACATTGAAGTGGTCTTGATGCTGCATCAAGCATTGCAGGACGAATCAGCAGAATGAAAGAACTGTTGAAGCTCCTACAGTACATCTGCCATCTCCTTTTTGGGAGTAGGTCTTCTGTTGTAAGTATAAGATACCTAAAAGCAGCCAGAGCAGTTCTAGAAGGGAAAACATGTATTATCTGGAAGGGCAGAGCTAAGAGTTGATAGGATGTGAGTAGCAGAGATGCAGAAGAGTCAGATAAGTACAGCATCCTAACAGCTTACTGCACTGAATTTGCAAATCAACAAGTAAAGATCTGTTTCAAGTGAGCACTTGCTTTAAGAGTGTGTTATCGATCCGTAACTGGTTTCCACAAGGTAGAGGACCTGAAATGTAAAAGAGTTGGACTGTTGCCCAAGTAACATCTAGTGCTTGAGGGGCATCAGAGTGAGAATCCTTGCTACAGCTTTTAGGTGTTTTTTTTTTTTTTCTTAATCTATTAGAACTGAGGCAAATAGTGCTAATGGGCTTTGTCTGCTCAGGGGTTTGGTTACCTTGCTGTGTGCTGTCTGTATAAAGCTGCAGGTGAAAAACTGCACTTCAGGTGAGGTTGTACTCTTAAGACCCATAATAGGCAAGAGGTTAGAGGTAAGCAGCCGTTGCTGGAAAATAGGTCACCAGACTGTCATGAATCCGTGCAGCTGGCAGAACCTGGGTAGCTGAGATGGCAAGCTGATGGTGCTTCAGGTGTCAGAGCAAGCTAAATAATCTTTTTTCAGCAATCTGATCCAAAGGCAATGTCTGCTGTCTCACCCACTACGTCCCATACCACCCCTAGTAAGGTGCAGCAGCCAAGAATTTCGGGAGCCCCACTAACAGGAACAGAAGACCTGTAACCAGTTTGGTGTTAAAGATTTCAACATGTCCACGGTACAAGACTAAAAATAGAATAATAGATGCTGGTTGAGCCTGGAAGGGAACCAGAATCACTCTCCTCTGAAAGCAGTCAGCACGTCCCACTGTGATGTTATATGAATTATCCCAAAAGCAAAGAGAGATCAGGAAACCAACTTTTAAATAGCAACTTTACCACACAAATATTTGTTATATTACACAGTATGCATTTGTACTGTTCTCTGATGCAAGAAAAAGGTTTCCAGCATTGTTTATAACACTTGTATTGGGATCTTACTTGCTGAGCATTTGCAGGATAAATTATGTAATCATATGTGTGAAAATAGGAAGCTTGCTATTCCTATGTCATGCATTAGCAAACAAAAGTCCACATGTTCCACGGCACAGAAGCACATGTTCACATTTTTAGATGACCTCCCACCTTAATATTCCTTACCTGAAGGATCTTCAGGAATCAGATTTGGGTGGAATTACCAACAGTAACTTGGATGACAGAATCAGCAGTGGCAAAAACTAGTGTTATAAAGCTATTCTGCCAGTTCAGTGAGGGCTATTTTAAAGCATACCTGGAAGACCTTGCTGGAAGTTTACAAAGCTGAGTGGTTCAGTTAGTAGTTACTAGATGAATAGAAGTTGCATTTGTACAACAAAAGACTAACCCAAGCACTTCAGACACCTAAGAAGAATGCTGCAGGGTAGGCTGTCACTCAACTGTGGACGCATTTTCTGGGAAGCTGGGAGGAAAAACGAAGTCTCAGCATATGCTGTGGCTTATCTTTTAAAGTGCTGCAGAGAGGGTTTCTGCACGTGCAGCACACTAGTATCAGGCTCTGCAACTGATGAAAGTGCAGCTCTAAACACTAGCTGAGGCCTGACTTCAGTGTCCTCGCCTCTGTTATTTCAGTTTCTTTTAAGCCAGGAGAGAAGGCATGCTTGTAAACCTCGAGGCCAGTTTGCCTTCTTATTTTGCTCCCCCTCAACCAAATCCCACTATGCAAAAACAATTTTGTGTTTCCCATCCCAGCCAATGCCTGTTAACGACTTGGCAAGGTCTCTGTAGTCATCTGTAGACATCTTGGCTTCTTTTTTTTCTGGCATGGGTAGCTTTCCACCCTTACATTTCTGCTCTTTACAGCCGTGAAAGCAATCTGGATTTCCTGGGCAAGATCTGCCTTTGGTCTCACACAATTTTGCTTCACTGAACTCCACTTATACCTTAATGGGTGGGGCAGCTATCTGTTTGTTTATGGCATATGGCACTGAATATTTTGGTGTAATATTCATTGAAATGTTCTGAACTCCTGATATTTTCTGACATCTATAATGGATGCAGTCATACCTAGCCTCCTTAATTCTCTGCAGTCATCGTATTTCAATACACTCTGTTGTTCAAGTCACTGTATTTTAACTAATCTACTCTGATAAAGTGTGTGCTTTCAAAGTACAGAAGATGAGGAATAGTTTCAGTATTTTTTCACTAAGTTGTAAGCTGTACTACTGAAATTACCCTCATTTGGCCATAGACCAAGAATAAACACGGGCTGTTGTTTTTATTCAAACAGTGTATGGTAAGCTGATCCCAGACAAAAGTGCCTGGTATATGGCATGGTCTTTTTTCTTTAATAGAGGGCACTTGCTAGCTACATCTTTTTTCCCACTGGCAGAAGGCTCTCTGTCCCACAGAGAAGTGAGCTGTAAGGTGCAGAGCTCTGTCTGTCATCCTTGAATGCTTTGTAGAGAATTGCTAACAGGTCTCAGTAGAAGCCTTATAGTTCATGGTACAGTCTATTTTTGTCTGTGTACTTGTACACCTAGCTCAGCCATGTCTTAGCTGCAGAAGTGGGCATGTTGTGCTTTGGTTTGTCCCTGCCTCTTCCTGCAGTGAGGTGACAGTGGTTCTAACTGCAACGCAGTCTCTGGCAGAAAATAATGGAGTGTAGGATCAGCACAGTCCCATGTTTGCCTGGCAGCCACTTACAGAGCATAGAGGGAGGACTGGTAAGCTCAGCTGAGACTACATCATTCTCTTGTAAGGAGCAACCAAGAGCTATCTAATGCAGCATCTCACCTTGCCCCAGAGCCTGGGCACCTGTATTGGTTGTGGTCTACATCACAGAATGCTCTCGTGAGGCCAGGTGCTTTTCAGATAGCTGAATGGATTTAGGTGCTTAAGTGCTTGCAGGAAAGTGCCAATTTTTGAATTAATAGGCCAGCTGTTCAAATTCTTTGTTACTAAGCAGTTGAACACGGAAATCAGCCATACGTCTTAGTAGCTTTATTTTAAATGTCTTGGTCTTTTGGCCCCACTGTTCACCCATTTTTTTTTTTTTTTCTGTACTGTGGCATAGCTCCAATAAGCAATCCCAGCACAGCCATTAGCAATAGCTGAGGTACTGTGGGTGAGATTACAGCCAAAGCA